AAAGAGGGGAAGGCCCTCAATGAGATGGATTGACAGTGGCTGCGGCGATGGGCTCAAGTATAGCAAGAATCATGGAGCTGGCTCAGGACTGGGCGGTGTTTCGTTCTGCTGTGCATAGAGTCACTATGAGTTGGAGACAACTCGACGGCACCTAACAACAACAACTAGACCACCTTAATATTGCTTTCCCCATCACGCCTAAAGGAAAGTATTTGTACATAGCTACAGGGGAGCCACCCAACCTGCCATGAATAGAGTTGCAAGTTCTAAAAGATTTTCCTAGAAGATGCCCCCCAAAACTGAAGAATGAGGTAGAGTTGCCCAACCAAATGGGAACACCTACCAGGCAGATGGGACAGTGAACAAAGACAGGGAGGTCAGTAGTTTAGTGTTACGGGCACACAAAGCGTGGCAGAATTAAGGCTGGAGAAATGGCCATATCTAGCTCTGCAGGACCTTTAGTAACATAGGAAGGATTTGGGGCCTCATCCTGAGGGCAGTTGGAGCAATGAGCATTTTAAGTTGGGAATAACAGGATCAGATTTGAAGTTGAAAGTTATTTGTCCAACAAAATGCCCCAGATATCAGATCTGAGGTGGAGAGAGAGAGAAAGGAAATAGGGTAAAGGGAAGGGGCAAGGTTGAAAAATACAGAGACTATAATATTAGCGATTTAAAAAAAAACCAAAACAACTTTTTACCGTCATTTGGGTGAAAGTTTACAGAGCATATTCATTTTTTCATTCAGCAATTCATAGATATTTTTCATGACATTGATTGCAATCCCCACAAGGTGACAGCACTCTTCCCACTTCCTCCCTGCGGTCCCCCCACCCCGTGTCCTTTCCTGTGCAGTCCTACCTTCTGAGCTTTCTCTCTGTGCAAATGCTGCCTTTCTGATTTCCCATGGTTGACTGTTCTAAGGAGTTTACCTACCTGGTCACCTTTTAGCTCTATTGTTTGGCTGAAAGTTAAGCCATATGAGTGAAGTTCAATTCCAGGCCCAAAGGATGACTAAGGGCTGAAGTCTCGGGGGTTTTGCCAATCTTTATCAGACCAGTAAGCCTGGTCTTTTTTTTTTTTTTTTTTTTTAATTTAAGGCCACATTTTTCACCCACTCTATTCAGGATCTCCTATACTGATCCCTTTCTGAGTGGTTGACAGTGGTAACCAGACACCATCTAGTTCTTCTGGTCTCATGGTCATGTAGGCTGACCTCATGATTGACTAGCCCCTTGGACTAATTGTTTCCATGCATCTTTGGTTCTCTTCACTCTTCTTTGCTCCAGATGAGGAGAGACCAATAGTTGCATCTTAGATGGCTGCTCACAAGCTTTTAAGACCCCAGTAGCTACTCATCAAAGTAAGATGTAGAACAATGTTTTTTCATACTGTTATGCCAATTGAGCTTGATGCGCCCCATGACCATGGTCCCAAGCCCCCACACCCAGCAACTCACTCCATTGAGTTATTTGGTTGTGGCTATTGAGAAGAATGGGAATTCCAGAACACTTTATTGTGCTCATGAGGAACCAGTAGGTTGTTGTTTGAACAGAACAAGAGGATACTGCATGGTTTAAAATCAGAAAGGGTAGGCATCATGGTTGTATCCTTTCATCATACTTGTCCAA